GGGATCAAACCAACAACCTTGCGATTGGGGGACAACCCGCTCTGCCTCTGAGCCACAGCCACCCCAAGTAAAAAAAAGTAAAATCTGTCAGAGATCAAGTCTGTAATCTACAGATAGATACAGACAGTAATTGCTTTAAACGTTTCGCCAACTTAAATAGTAGCGTATTTTTCTGCATTTACTCATTTCCTGCAGCAATATCAAACTTGTCTTCCTGTCCTGTAACTAATGTTTTGACTCAGTGTCATCACTCTCCCCAACCTGGAGCAGGCAGCTGTTTTCAGTGAAAAAGTTCAGATAAATCCACTGTACTCTACCTGCTCAGCACCAAACAGCTGACAGACACAGTTAGAGACTAGCTAGTAAATATATTGGAGCATTTATTAGCAGCTAAAGAGAAAGATAATTCCCTCAGGAGTTCTTTAAATGGACTCAAACACAACTCTAAATAAGCGATAATGTTATTCTGTGATGAGTAAATCAAACAACTGTTTGCTAACATGTTAGCCATAATGGCTTTATAATGTTGTAATATGTCAAATTTAATATAGTTATTATATAGTTTATAGCTGCTGCCCTCAGGTGGCCAAAAAATCAAATAATGCTGCTTTAGAATTCACCCTACTGAGCCAAATGAGTGTGTGTGATTGTTTTTGGCGAGAGATCTGAAAAATACTGTTTTCCCATAATGAAAAGATAAAAACATGCAAAAACGTTTTATTTTGTAATCCAAATTACACATATACAAGGATTCAGGATATTAGCATGTCATTTTCAGAGACCACAGCCAAAAGAACAACAAGAGAAAAAAATACAATCTGTACATATTTCAGTTTACAGTGAGTAGCCAGTTGAAGAGTACCAGAGAACACTAAGGCAAATCATCAGCAGACAGAAGAAACATTGCCTTTTTTGTATTTAATCCACCACAGCAGAGTATCAAGAAGTATCTTTGCTACAAAACAAGGACTGGTGTCTCCCTTTATTAGCAATCAGCTGCATAAGTTACATTGTGATAAAAGCAAAACAAATAAACAGAAAGTATCTATCTAAAGTCTAGCATTACTGTACATGTCTTCTACTAGCTTTGGAACACCAAACCGGCAAAAATATGCGGCTCTTTTGTACAGCTCTGGGTTTAACCAACGTCTGCCTCCCACTAACAGAAACCTCCCAAAATCACTGATACAGCCTTACCACTAAGTAACACTGATATTGTATATAAGCCTTTAAGGAGAGGTGTGTAGGATTTAGTGACATCTAGCAGTCAAGTGGCAGATGGCAACCATTTGAATACCTCTCTCCATCCAAGATGATAGATAGATATTAGTGTGATAATAAGTATGAAGCTTGTTTTGTCAACAGGTTACAGCCTATATAAAGCTGCTCTATTCCTGTCAGGTATACTGATTCTAACAGAGTTCAATACAAAGAGATTTTCCCCTTTGGTCATATTGTTAGGGAGGACATGGTTTAGATCTGATATTTTCAGTTCTAGTCGTTGAAAACTCCTCTGTCTCAGACTGTACATTAAGTATACCTAGATTTAAAATACTGTGATTTTAATTTTCTTGTACCTTTTTAATATTTTTTATGTAAAAGTGGAACTTTTCATCTTCAGATTTACCCTGCAGGGACTTCAAATATCCATTAAAATGTGTCATGAAATGGCCCAAAGTTGTCAAAAGAACTCGCTCTAGACCAAACTATTGGATTTTTCTCCTGCCATGGCAAAAATATCTCCAGATGGCTCAACAACAAAAAAAAAGCAATAGAGTAAAGCTGCAACATATGCAACTGTTCCACTGCAATAAGCAAAATTAGTGACGTTACATCAGCTTAATTCCTAAAATTCATGTATGCCACCCCTGTTAGGAAGATGCATCCGCAGGAGTAAAGATAGTGGTTTGGTTAAATGCCTCTGTTTCACATTCTGCTGCAGACCCAGACACAACAAAGGAGGGGTGTTGGATTGGTCATTTTAAGCAACAGACCTGAATATTAGTCACCCCTCAGTCGCTTTATATTCCGTTCACAAGCTGTTCATATTTATCTGTAAAAACTCCATCCAGAACGTGTCTGCTCTACGTACACCAGACAAATATCCACTCTGTCATATTCATTACATATTTCATTACTCAATTAATTGCCTTCATGATTGACATTTCTTATTTTATTTTATAGATCATACTGTTGCTCCGTAACCACAAGTGCTTCAGATGTTTTTAGATTTCTGGCCTTAATTCCTTGTTGCTGTTTTTGCTTTCAGTTTTCTTTCATCTGCACAAACACATACATGGGAATTATATTTTGTGTCTTTGCGTCTGCATTTTGTCATCCTGCAAATAAGCTAAACTACATCCCATTTAAAGTTCCCATTTCTGAAAGTGCAGCAAGGACATAACCACAATATTCATACAGCACAACAAATAACATTTTCTGCTTGTAAAAACCTCCAGAAGAAGAAGTTATTTAAATTCATTGTGCAACTAAATGTCCTCGACTATCTAACGGTGTTGAAAAGCCAGGGGAGGCAGCCATTCTTCATAGCAATTCAATCAAAGCTTTGACGTGATGTGATGTTGAATGATCAGAGTTTGCAGTGTGGGAGAGCAGAGAGGAAATTAAACTTCTGATCTCGGGCAGCTTTGTTAATGTGGGCAGTCAGTCACATTAATGCCAGAGCAGTGTGGTGAAATGAGCCTGCTGTTTATGCAAGCAGACAAACACTTGAAAACACAGAGACCATGTAACAAATATATGTCTGTTGTATCACAAGGAAATATGTTTCATTGCCTTATATGTGTAATAACCACAGATGTGAGTGAGCTTCTGGTCGGAGTAGGGTGACCATATTTTCAAACCTCAGAGAGATCAGAGAGTCATTTTATTCAGGTAACGCTGCGTTTCACCGTTCGCCTGTCAATGGCGTCATATCCCCTTTGTGCCTGCGTCAGCGTTGTGGTTGTCTGCCAGAAGCTGTCATACATTGACTTTTGATCCGGTTTAGCGTTGTGGTTGTCTGCCAGAAGCTGTCATTCACTTTTTATCCAGTTTGAAGCCACATTTTTACCATCCACTGTTTAGATCTTGGTGCTTTTTAACCGGATGAAGGATTCTTAATGTGAGAGGCCCCCTAGTGGCAGAAATGACATATTGCACTGCTAAAAGTGTACCACATGTGCACATGTATGCACCATAGGCATTTCCATTAGTATGGGGGACAATTTTCTCCTACTCCTACCGAGCGAACCTTTCCAAACCATGGATGCCGTGAACGCAGCATTTTTGCTGCCGGGTAGGATTAAGCCTCTGAGGGCTCTTTAGACTCTCTCTATAGCATGATAGCTAACTGTTAGCATACTGACTGGTTCTATTAGAAAGAGCTAGCATAGCACACTATAGAGACAAATCAGTGTTGAATTTAGACTTGTGGTGCATTGTTTATGGTATTAGATTGGGTTAGGAGAGGGACAGAACAGTCTATGCAAGTGCAAAAAAACAAGTGTAATATGATCATTATTCTAATTATGGTGAAAACTGACTTGGGACACTTAGCTTAAAACTGGGACAAACTGGGACGTGTGGTTACTGTAGGTAAACCGAAATATGCATATTTGACTCTGCTAACCTCCGTGATTGATTGAGATCTACACACCGTCATGTGTCGGGATTGTAGTTGTCATTCTCTGACCGAATCAGATGAGAAAACCTTTAACACCCAAAGCTGTACAGTAAAACCGTGTATTTGCTGGTAGGATCCTCCAAAGTGTCTCATAGCAGGCTTTGCAATCCAGTGTGTCTCTGTGGAAATGACTCACACACACTCACACACATACAAGGTAATGACGTATAACCCAAACACACACACACACACACTCATTATCATGGCGAAGTGCTCCCTCCAGTTGCCAATGAACAACACTGGGAGGTTTAAAGCAATGTACAGAATTGAGACTTAACACAATCAAAAAGAATGTACAAAAAGGCACATTTGACCCCAGTGCTCCTGTACTGTGAGATTCAAGTGTAAATGAGCGTCTGTAGCATGGCTGTCGTAGCTCTTAACCATCAAAGAGACAACATCTCCTCTGAGCGCACTGTCCTGGCTGCTCACATTTTGTTAGCAGAGGGGCTAACGCTCAGATGATAATGTCCATTAGCCTGAATGCTAGCCGGTGCCAGGCCTTGCTAGGCCAGGAGTCAGAATGGTCCCTAGTGTCATCAACCGTCGTCAAGGGGCAGCGAGTCTCTTTACAAGCTGTCCCATTGGTAATACAGAAGTGCCGATCCATACCCCATGTTTACCCCGCATCCTCTTTCCTTACAACCCCCGCCCAACACCTGAGCCTTGGAGCAAGGGTAGGGTGGGTCTTGTCGGTGGGGGCTCGGGGTGCTAATCGTCCCCTCCGCCGTACAGGTCGGCCAGCTTGCGGAAGCGCGGCCCCCAGTCGCCGAGGTAGTCGTAGTCCTGGTCTCCACAGCTCGAGGAGGAGTGCAGGGAGCTGAGGGAGCCGGCGGTGGAGCCACTGCCCTCGTAGTCGAACACGAGCAGGGAGTCGTAAGGGGGGGCAGTGGGGTCGTTGTCTGCTGCCTTCAGGCCCTGGAAAGAAAGACGGAGGAGACAGAAGGGTTAGAAAAGACAGGTGCAGTGGCAAATAATAGTGACAGAGAGGGCATCCTTAGCTCCATGGTGAATATAAAATCACTATTTAGACTGCCAGAGTGCGGAGGAGTGTACATTCATTTACACAGGCAGCGAATATTGAATAAAGATTGGCGCTCTCCTATGAACCTTGTTTACTGGAAATAAATATGGAGGAGACGGGAAGGTAAGCAAAGAGAAGACGGCACATTCATACTAGGGCAGATTCAGAGTATTAGTAACCAAGGAGACTGATAACAGATATTTGGAACAGATATACATTTGCAGTAAAAATTAAAATAACCAGTGGTAAGTGTAACTAAGTACATTTACATTACTAAGTACTTAAATACAATTTTGAGGTACTTGTACTAAATCTGCAGATTCACAATATTAATACACAATAAAAATCAACTGATAAATGATTTATTATTATATATTCATTCAAAAGAGTTCTGCCCTTATCAGCTGCAACATTAGTGATGAAGGGTACTTGTATAGCCTCTTTCTAGTCTTCCGACCACTCAAAGCGCTTTTACACTACGTGCCACATTGACCCTTTCACACACATTCACACAGGCGATGGCAAAGTCCATCAAACAGAAACTAACTCATTTCATACACCAATGCTGGTGCATCAAGGATACTTCGGCGCGTCGCAAGAACCAACAACCTTCCGATTGGGGGACGACCCGCTCTGCCTCTGAGCCACAGCGCCGCAGGGACCAGAAAGTATATATTATAATTTAAGTATATTTTGATGCTAATACTTTTGTAGGTCCAGTGTGTAGGGTTAAGCAGCAGTGTAATTGCAGA